TATATATATATATATATATATATATATATATAACAAAGAAAACGTATTCCGAAAGTATGGACCTGAACAGTCGTCATTCCATATACTGCAAAGACGTCAGACGATATCAGAAGAGTACTCAATCAGCAACATTGTCCACATAAAAGATCAAATCCCTAAAGATTCTTTACCTAATTGTGTCTATACAATAAAATGCTCGCTGGGAATGGGATGCGATCTACATCGGACAAACATCGCTACCTAAAGAAATCAAGGTGATCAGAAAAAATGAACACCGTAGAGTGTCTGTTCAATCACAGAGAAATCCGGTTAGTAAACCAGAAAAGCTTGACAAATCATCTGCCATAGCTCGTCTACAAGCAATGCTATAAAATCAGGCAACAAAACTGATTTCAACAATATTGAAATAATCCAGAAAAATCATTTCAGAAATCACAAAGAACGTCTAATATCATCAGAAGCACTTCATATCAAGTGGAATCCAAATTGTCTGAACTGAACAGGAATGATGGACTAAAACTGAATTTGACCTGGTTACAACACCCCCTCCCCTCCCCTCCCCTATGAAATGACAAAATCAACACAAATGTGACAATCAGTATCATTATATAAACACACACTGTTATGTAATTCTACACACTTATCAAATCCAACTATTTACACCTGTTTTTGTTATCTTTACCAATTGACCAACTTGACAACGAAAAATGACCCCAGACTGACAAACGATGATCAAGTTAGTAAACTTTGTTTTGATGTCATAAGAGACGTACTATTACCTTATTTGGTTTAGTGATCTTCATTGGTATTTTGACTTTCAATATGTCCCCCTTTAACTTGCCCTAAGTCTATTTCTCACCCCTTAACTCTTTGTTAAATATATAGGCTGAGATTTTGTAAATTCTGGTTTAATAATACTTCTTTGATAAAGCTATTAGCAGTATTAAATAGCGAAACGTCAGTAAACACAACAACAATATCGTTTTGCTCTTTTTCATCCATTGGGAAATACAAAAAATCTTTATTATAATAGATATTAACAATCTAGACGACTGGTACACATTTGAAATATTTTGCAATCGAATTAAATTAACAAAGAAACTATATGTAATTGGCACAATCATCGTGTTTTCACTCTCCGTTGTCTGCAGCAGAATGCATATATCCTAAATCCGTAGCTGTCGAGTCATCTGACAACTCCAGTAGGTCGATTCAAGCAGCTCAATCTTCAAAAAGAAGATAAAGCAATCAGTTTCGACAGGGTGCTTCAACTAGACTCTAATCTTAAACACCATAATTTTGAAAATACATCTAATCATAAACAGTTTGAACAGACACATGAAGGTGTGATCTTGTTAGCTAATGCATGGCAAATCCTGATTAATAAATAAAACAAAAATGGATATGTTTTACTAACTAATTGATAATACTTGTTCTTACGAGTTGATCGCTGATTGATATCAGCTAGAGAACCATTGAAAACCACCACTGGAGTACTGGACAGCTGTTTCATCAGCCTAGTTTGGGAATCATCGGCAGCAAGCACCCACTGGGTTTAGAACCCAGGACCTTCCGGTTTGAAGGCAAGCTCGTAGACCATTCAGCGACTGTGACCTGATTCAATGGTCAGGTCATGGATTCTAACTTCTGCCGATTAGTGATTTAGCGCAACACCAACCATTGTCGTAGGTGAGACATCCATCGTCACACGTGATATCCGGATAGACCTCACTTGTCACACCTTTTTCTCCCACCCACCCCACACACACATATGACACTCCGTTTAAAGTGTTTAACAAAGGTAGACCAATATTTGAAGTCCGAGGTCAAATTTTGACCGCAACTCATACAGTTTTGTTTATTATACATGTAGATACCTGTTTCATGACTCATATGATTGGAGAAAGCTATTAAAAATAAAAGATGTCCCTCTTTTTATATATAAACCTCTGCTGTTATCTTAATTTCGATTAATTTCCCTGAAGAAGTTCCAACCGTCCAGTTTGTCGAACACAGGAAACGTTGGAATTACTCATTTCAATCTCGATGAGATTTTACAAATATATATATATATATATTCTATATATTACAAATGTCTACTTCTCACTTGGCCCCCAAAATATTTTAGAAATATTCTGTCAAATCTTGACGACAGTTCATTTGGATTTGTATACAATGCTGACTACAGATATTGGAAGTGAAGTGAGTAAATAATATAAACAATATTTCCTGTCTTAAAACAACAAATTAGTGAGAGAGAAAAAAATGTACACTTCTCTTATAAACGCTTAATTATTTTATTATTACCTTTTAAGGCGAAAAATAAATCTCTCTATACAACCACTGCTGCGTATGCTAATACTAATACATACCACACCACTGCCGAGTATACTGACGATACTGTTTATCTTTTTGGTCCTTTGTGCTCTCTGTCTCTGAAGTTTCACTAGCAGTGGTATTTATTTTTTTACAGAGAAAGAGTGTAGCTATCCTCGAGCCTAACCTTTCCTCTTTATCGAGATTACTAACAGTTAGAGCTAAGCGAGGTTTTCGAATGCATCGGTCAGGGATTGAAATACGAATCAAGTGAGACGTGGTTGGTTTGAGTATTCTACTTCTGATATCAAAGCAAGAATCGGAAAAGCAAGAAAAGCTTTCATTACTCTCACCAAGTCTGTGTGGAGGTCAACATCACTCAGCATCAAAACGAGTATAAGATCCGGATTTTCAACTCCAATGTGAAGTCAGTCAGTGTTACTCACTATACGGATCAGAGACTTGGCCAGCGCGTCATGAAGAGCACCTCAAACAAACTACAGACCTTCATTAACAGCTGTCTTTGCTCAATACTTAAGATCAGATGGCCGGTCAGAAAAGATCAGAAACAGGGATCTCTGGGAATGAGCGAACCAACCAGGAACTGATTGTGAAACAAATAGGCAGGAAAAAATGGAGATGGATTGGCCATACTCCAGGAAACCATCAAGTGACATCACTAGACAAGCCATTGCTCGAGTGGAACCCGAAAGGGAAGCGGCGAGTTGGTTATCAGAGCGAGGGTAACTTGGAGGAGGTCATGTGAAGAGGAGATAAAAGCATGTAGGCAGACTTGGAGCCAGGTGAAAACTCTAGCAGAGAACCGAACGCAATGGAGAAGCGCGGATGAAGTCCTATGTTCCTCTAGGAATTAAAGGAAATAATAATAATACCTCTGAACCATCGAGTACTAGGTAAGGAGAGGAAATCAATCGACGAGGTTGGTTAGGACATTGTGTCGCTGAGCATGCGCCTAGCCTGCCCTAGCCATCACTTTCCTTGAAAACGGGCAATCTTAGCCACCGACATAGAATGGATCAGGTTGGAAAAGAGTGAGTTAGTGGTGGTGATCGAACGAAAACATGGTTTCATCAGTCAATGAAATACACAAAAGTTAGTTTCAGACAGTCAGGCAGGCAGCTAGCCATGCAGAGAAGTGTAGACTTTCTGGTTGGGGTCCTTGGGATGGTATAAACCAATGGTGAGGGCTGAAGACAATTGGTGATATGACTCAAAATCGTTCTCAATAGCTGGCGGAGATGCATTCACTCTTTATGCTGTGTGGTATCCAGTAAAACTCTACTGTTCCTCCATATTACTATTCTTGCTGCCTAATATTTCTGTTGATTATCTCTCTCTCTTTTTAATCTCTCTACACTCTCTTCTCTTGGTTTGTGTGATACATGGAGGGAGAGTGGCAACTAGGTGGGAATACTGGACATCTGTACAAAGTCCTGTGTTGAAACCATTCTTCCAATAAGTGTATCAGTGATTCAATTGGTAGGATACTCGTCAACCACTCACGAGGTGCGGCGTTCGACTCCGCGCCAATAAACAACACTTGTATACCACGCTTAGTTTGGTAGTAAGCCCAGTATAGAGGAAAGGTTGGGTGCGGGTGCGGGTGCGTGTGCGTGTGTGTGAGGATGGAGACGACCACCACCATTACCACAACTAATGAAACTTCAAAGCTCATGCTTGAAGTCCTATCTCTTCCACTAGGGACACGAAGGTATGAAAAACGGTTTTATTCAATGTCAAAGCAAATATATCTACATATATATCAATGCTGATTTTGATTGTGTGTGTGTGTGTGTGTGGTATACTAATATAGGAAGAGAAAAACTGTTGTATCGATCCGAGATTTAAAAAAAATAAAACAGAATTAAACATCAATAGGAAACTTTGACTAGTTTAAACAAAGAGAGGGAGAGAGAGAAATGAAACGTATTTGCAGGATAAAACGTGTCCATGTTTGTTTTTTCTATTTTTCATGGTTTTTTTTCAGTTGCTAACGTCCTAAATATGACAAAAGAGTTATTATAAATGAAGTTATAATTTGGAGGCAAATCAGCCCCCAAAGGAAGCCTCACCTGACCTAGATTTCGTGCTAGTTAGCACTCACCAGTTAGGCGGTTGCACATACGCCTTGCTGACTGGCACGAAAACTAGGTGAGGTGAGGCTTCCTTTGGGGCTGATTGCCTCCAGCCATCTAACATCAACAAACCAGTTTTTACTTGCTTGGCGTACGTAAGGGCAAAAACATAAAGGAGAATCAAAGGGAAACTGAAAAGGACATTTTTTTACATCCATACCGATTGCTGTTTATAACACAAAATACTTATTTAATACGATGTGAAGTAAAGATAGGCATTCTGCTCATATCAACTTCAATTGTGGAGTGGGCTATTGAAAGAGTAGTTCTTCGTCGAACATTGTCCGTCGGTCGCACAATGGTTAGGACTCCCGTCGACCATGCACGCACATGGTCTGGGGGTTCCATCCCCTGCCGACACACACCTAATATCAAATGGTCGGGCGCCTGAAAACTTTGGGCTACCGATATCACATGCTGAAAATTCCATACTTGTACCAAAAAATACACAGTAGAATCAAGCTATAATCAATAATAATAATAATATAAAGAACATTAATTTAAGAACAAACAAATCAATAAACTTACCCAACTATTTGTCAATTGCTGATGCAACACAGAACGTAGTTTATCTTTATCTCTTTCAAGTTCTTGTATTCTTTGATCTTTTGCTCGAATAACAGATTTTAAATGAGCAATTGTTTCTTGTAGTTGAACGATTGTTGTTGTTGTCTCGTGTTCTGATGATTTTGTTGGTGGTAACATTGTACTAGACATTGGATTAACACTTCCATTCACAATATTACTATTAATAGTAGTAGTAGTTGGATTCTGTTTCGGTGTAGTATGATGCCCAGATGAATGTGGATTTGTTGGATGATTCTGTGTTAATTGTTTATGATGTGATTTTGTCATTGGTGTAGTAGTTGTTTTATATGATTTATTACTTGCAGTTTCATCTGATGGATGTTTTATAGGACCACTAGTACTACTTCCAACAGCGGGGATTTGTCCATGGACGTTACCCTTGAAATAATAATAATAATAATGAAGGGAAAAACAAAAAAGATTTCACTTAGTTAGGAGAAATACTGGTATGCAATAAAACACTGGTCATCAACATATATATATTTTTTTTCCCAAAAGTTGATTTGTAAGGATTAAACTTGTTTTTACGAGTTTTACCATGGACTGATATCAGTTAGAGAACCGTTGAAAACCAGTACTGGATAGCCAGTTGTTTCATCAGCCTAGTTTTAGAATCATCGGCAGTACGCACCCACCACTATAGCTCGAACCCAGAACTCTCCGGTTACAAGCCAAGCTAGCTCGTAGACCATTCAGCTACTGGGATCCGATCCAATAGTCATCCCATGAATTCCAACTTCTACCAATTCGTGATGACACTGGTTGGTGCCAGTCGCGCTAAATGCATCAGGAGAAGACAAAACCAACATCATCTACAAAATAAACTGTAACAACTGCGAAAAACACTACATCGGCCAAAGTGGACGTCCCCTTCGTCTTCGTATCCACGAACATAAGCTAGCCGTCAAAAGACATGATATCCACTCCCTCATTTCACTACACACAGACAACTACGGACATCAATTCGACTGGGACAACGTTCAAATATTAGACAAAGGAAATAACAAGAATGCTAGAGAATTTTTAGAAGCTTGGCATTCCAGTGGATCATCAATCAATAGACACATCGAGATAGACAAAATTTATCAACCAATAAGAAAGAAACTTCACACACAAAGGGTCAAAGTTCAAGTCAAAGAAACAACCGGTTCCAATACAAGTAACCTAGAAGGTGTGAAAACACACACAAACAACCAATCACGTCCAAGGTCACCAGGAGAGATGATTAATAAACTCGTGGAGAAATCTAAAAGCTCACTTCAAATTGAAGTATGCGCTGAAGATGTCACCCAGTAAGGTGATGAAAGCTTCGCAAACTAACCATCCAGCTCAGAGAACAAAACCACATCAAAATCATCCACCAGAGCTACAAATCTCTATCATATCTATTGGTCCATGTGTATTAGACATATTCATGTATACTTTTGTACTGGATAATCATGCATACGTGTCCGTACCTTTCGTACTTAATCCACTCACAGTCTTGTGTGACATTAATTTCCCTTGTCTGGAAAATACAAGTATCATCGTACACCTCGTGGTCTTCTGATTCCTCCCATTCCGCGTCAGGACTATTAACTACTCGACGAGTACATAACATAATTGGCGACGGGAAATTATGGATTCTTCTAAATTGGAATTACTACTTGAGCAACAAAGGAAATTGATGGAAATGCTCATCAACCAACAGACTGGTTTAGTATCACCTTCAAGTAATCCGAATCATACAATGCCACCATCTGTCGACGGTATTGTGAATAGTATTACACAATTCAATTATGATCGGGATGCTTTTGACACATGGTATCAACGATATGAGGATTTATTCACAGTTGATCTCGCCTCTCAAGACGATGCTTGGAAGGTGCGAGTGTTATTACGTAAATTAGGTCCCGCAGAATATGAACGGTACTGCAACCTAATTTTACCCCAGAAACCACGTGACAAGTGTTTCGATGATACAATAAAGCTGTTGTGTGAACATTTTGGAGACCACTCCTCATTATTCAACATACGTTATCGTTTCCTCAAGCTGACAATGAATGAAAATGATGATTTTCCTACTCACGTTGGCACAGTCAACCGAGAATGTGAGAGATTTCGACTCAGGTCCTTAACAGATGATCAATTCAAAGCCTTGATTCTCATATGCAGTCTTCAATCTCCTCGTTTCACAGATATCCGAACTCGACTGCTCAATCAGCTAGAACAAAATCCCAAGTTAGCATCACATGACATAGCTGATGAATATCAACGGCTGATTAATTTGCAGAAAGACACACACCTGGTCGAATCAACAACTTCGAGAAGCTCTGATATTCGTGCATTACGAAAGAGCGAAAATCTCTCTTCATCATCCAGTCCTGACCCACCTACTTCTTCTAATGTTCCGCGGAAATCTACACATACTCGTCCAACTTCACAAAATACTGCAAAGAAGACCCCACCATCACCATGCTGGGATTGTGGCGCGTGGCACTTTGTAAAGTCCTGCCCATACAAAAACCATCGTTGCAGCAAGTGCAAAATCATCGGCCATGAAAATGGTTTTTGTCAGCCACGGAAACCCAGATATCATAATCCAGCGAAAGCTCAACCAACTGTTGGTCCCAAATCCCCAAAAAGGTCAATGAGTCTAGTCGCAACCTGTCAAGTTACAACACCAGGTATCCGGAAATATCTTGATCTTCAGATGAATGGTCAGGATACACGTCTGCAGCTAGATACCGCCTCTGATATTACTGTTATATCAGAGAAACTTTGGAATGATATTGGCAGACCACCTATCAAAAATGCTTCCCAGACTCTTCTCAGAGCCTGTGGTGGGCGCCTCAAACTGATTGGTGAACTCAAATGTTCTGTTTCATTCCGTAAAATTAAATTCACAGGAATTTGCTACGTCACTCAGAGTGATTTAAATCTTTCGTGCCAGTTGGCACTCACCAGTCAGCAGGGCAGGCGTATCTGCAACCTCGAAGAAACTCACCGAACAAAGGACTGGACACATTACGCTAGTTAGTGATTATTTTCCAATCAAAAATATCCAATACAGTCAGTCCTACAGGAGGTCAATCGCGAGCCAGCCTGAATAGCTCCTAAGTGGTAACGTCTCTGACTGCAGGCCGCACTGGGTAACGCTGGTTCGAATCTCAGAAGAGACATGAGTTCCTTGAAGGCGGTTGCAGATCCGCCTGCCCTGCTGACTGGTGAGTACCAGACAACTAACACGAAACCTGCATGAGGTGAGGCTTCATGCTGACTGCCTCCAACCATATAATACCAACAATTCACAGTGCATCGTGATGGCGAGCCACCTAGTGGCATTGTACGGCCATATTGCAAACTTGACTGACTGGTAGAATTCAGTCTGCGCCAAACACATAGGAGGACTAGACACACATCACACCGGTTACTGACTAGTGAGTGTCCAATCAGAAATTACGGAAATGAATGAAGAACAGGTAAAATCATTACATCATTACATCGCATATAGAAATCAATAACTCGCATTATGATACCTGTACGAGAACTTACTTAGTCTACAAACGATTTATCTGTCGCTACACCCCGAATTCCAAAGAATCATCTTAGCATAACCGCAGAGCTAATGGGCCTAACCGAACAGTTTAGACTCCAAAATAAAAAAAATGTAGGCTTGCTCAGTCACTGTAAATATGCACAAAATTCAGACTTGGAGGCTTTCAGTGCTCTTAATCCCTCAGACGATAGATTCGTACCAATGGGGATTCAACCAACAGAAAGTCCTAAATCTAAATTTCTTTCTTATTGGCATTCATTGCCAATGCATAACGCATACATCGAAGGAATTGATACCCCTGTTTTGAGATTCTTCACAGTTGAAATAAACCTAATGAAACATGGAAGGTGACTAGCAGTGGAATCCAGGATCAAGAGCATTTCATCCTATCTGGGACTCGTCACCTGAACGAACGTACCTGCATTCCACAGTGAGTCAGAGATGATGTTTCCACCGGGGCTCAAACCCAGTGCCTATTGTTTCAAAAGCCGAAGCGTTATCCACTAGACCACTTGGGCCGCGAGAGCCACCACCTCTTGTGCAACGAGTCATATTAATTTAATTTGATTTTAGATTTTCCCGTCCATTGATTTATTGATTGATTGGACCTAAGTGCTCGGTCTCACTCAGGCTGACATATCGGCTTCATGTGCAGATACTTCGAAAATGCCTGGGCATGTAGTCAGAAGTTAATTGGTGGATGGTGACTAGCAGCGGAACCCAGGATAAAGCGCATTCCGTCTTATTCGGGACTCGTCAGATGGATTAAATTAATATGACCCGTTGCACAAGAGGTGGCTGTCGTGGCCCAAGTGGTCTAGTGGATGATACTTTGGTGTTGGAAACTATAGGCACTGGGTTCGGGCCTCGGTGAGAACATCATCGCTGACTCACTGGGGAATGCAGGTACATCTAATGCCTGACGAGTCCCAAATGAGACGAAATGCGCTTTATCCTAGATTCCACTAATGCTAGTCACCATCCACCAATTAACTTCTAATCACATGCCAAGGCATTGTCGAAGCATCTGCACAAGAAGCCGACGTGTCAATCTTGAGACCAAGCACTTCAGTCCAATCAATTAATGGACGGGAAAATCTCGAATTCAATTAAACACGGAAGGTATTAAGACACCAAGTGACAATTTGGTATCGGTTTAACTGTCTACCGTTTTAACTAGTAAGTTATCGACAACAAGAAAAATAAGAAGAAGAAGACATGGTTTATCTGAAACGTGTAATGTGCGTAATTTGTGCAACAGATTTCGGACATTCTGATCAGGCACACACACACACACAGACATACCTACTTGTCATACACACTTGTACAGAAGGCAAGATAGTATGAATTATCATAATACAGGTAAACTTGTGTGTAGATCCATGTCACAAATAAGGGGTGGGGAAATGACGTAAGGATGTGGGTAAGACAAAAAAACAAAACAAAGAAGGGATGGGAGATGGAAATATCATTAAGTAAATTGAATCTCCCTTCGTCATACACTTACTACTATAAATACACCGATGTACAGCCTGGTTGATGACATCATTGACAAGGAAATTTCTTCTTTGCAACTGTCCAGCAGACAGTTAATCCAGTCTAACATTAAGGATAAGATACCGCTAATCGCTACCTCAGTGTGCATTTATCAATTACTTGGTTGTGTGGAGCAAAGTATATCGGCTGTACGTAACGTCAAGTCCACAAACGTATTCTGGAACACTGTCCAGTTTGGTTAGCCAGACAGAGGAGAAAAGAAGAATAGCAGCGGTTCAATCTTTGAACACCTTGTCATCTCTGGACATCGAGCACCTCCACCGCCTTGTATGAATGCTTCACAG